GTGAGTGATTCGTTCCACATATATCCTGCTCCTACACAACAAAGAGAAAGCCTGATGTTTACTGATTTTAGGGAAACAAGTCGTTATGACTTCACTCATGAAGTCTTATCCAACGAAGAGTCTATGTTCGACGGGAAGAGGATCGTCAAATCCAGAAGGATATCCATAATATGCCGTGATTTGCCAAAGCCCGAACACAGGATGGAAGCGAATGCAATAGAGATGAAAACTATTCCAGAGATTTAATGTAACGCCCATTTGTACTAGTTTATTCAAAGATAGATTTCTATATTTGGAAGATGCTGCGGAATCTTAGTCCATCTCAGACTGACGGTACTCTCGTGTATCACCTGTTGAATAATTGGCCACAGAGTTCTTGTAACGGGCGTTATCAACTCCACTCATATCTGCTATGGATCAAAATAGACCAAGTGCTCCCTTCATCTCATGCACATAAACCGTTTTATAGAGCTCATGGGGGGGGGGACTGGGCCATTGGGGCCGGCGATCGTCCTGGTTTTCGTGTAATTTTGTGTGCATTCCAGTCGGTGGTTGTTATTTTCCAGTGGACATGACAAACTAGCATGACCTGGCACCTGATGCCGGTTCAGTGACCGGAGACGCTTGGTTGGCCTAGGCGACAGCCGATTTATGAATATTGGTTTGAGAAAAGCACGCACATTTAAAGCTCAAGCCTAGTGTTCTTATTTCTTGCATGTTCCAATCAGGGTGACCGCTTTATCATCATAAAGGCACATTCCGCGATAACCGGGTGGGCGAAGACTCATAACATTTGCGCTGTCGTCATTGGCGCCCTACCTCTAATTTTTACCGAACTAGAAAAAGGGTCTCGAGACCCAGCTCATTTTTCCGTCCATCGCGAAATTTGCCTCTAAAGCACCTTGTGCAACAGATTATTTCGCCGGTATCTATAATATGACGTGGCCGGTGTTGATCTGCAAGATATCAGTGTTTTGTTACGTAACTATTTGGAATTAGTTTTAGTCATTAACTGGTTTTTATCAGTCTAATAATGTTATTGTGATGTTGTTGTTAAAAGATGTGTGTCCCCGAAGCTTTACTTTTTTCACAGAGATTAAACATTTTCAACGATGTTGTTGAAGCCCTGCCCACAGAAAAAAACGACTTGAAGTATTGGTGTTTATTTTCAATGAGTATATATTCAGTTTTTCAAACAAAATCTTTTTTGTCTCCATTGGAAGTCATGAGTATTCTTTCTCCCAGTCATACGGGAATTCTTGTAATCCTTTTCTTTTCATGGCCTTCCGTAATGTTGTGTAAATAAACTCGTAGTTTGGTTCTGCGAAGAATTGAAGACCATCAATGTGCCTGGAAGGATCTGAATATGCCTATCCGGTGGGCAACAATAAGGCCGCGTTCATGCTCAACGATTCTATAGAATCAAGGAATCTGTGAGCTGGGTATGTGTTTAGTGATTAACGGAGCGCTGGATGGAGGCTTTCCTGAGTACGTATAGTGTAGTTCGCCGCAGACGGTGGGGCGTGTCGGGCAGGATGAGTTTGGCACAACTGGCAGAGAACGCGTTTTTCACCGTGGCACACACTGCTGACACGCCCCATCGTCCGCAGCGAACTACACTATACGTTTTGGCGCGGTGTCCGCTCGTTTCCATCTCTCGTTGCCACA